AAAGAGCAGAGCTGAGCGTGTCTTCAGCCTGCTGAGAGCTTGGAATAGGACGTACCAAAACCATGGAGGTCTCCCCTTGGCCCGCAGGGGAGACGGGGTGAGCGTTCAGAGGGACTGAACTGTGCCTGAAAGCCCCAAGTGTGGGTAGCCTAGAGATGCCTGTAGGCTTCTGCAGCACAGGCAGGCTCATGAGTAGCTTCTCCCTGTGGCCTGTCGTGCCTCTGCGAGCCCTTGCCTCTGCTCTGCAGGCACAGCAGGAAGTCTCTGAAGGTGATGGGGACTGTCGGGGAGCCCATCAACCCTGAAGCCTGGCTATGGTACTACCGTGTGGTGGGAGAAGAGAGGTGTCCCATTGTGGATACGTTCTGGCAGACGGAGACGGTGAGTCCTCGCCTGGGTGGCCCTGGGACCTCTCTTTCCCCTTGTTTTCCTGGCAAGTATCAGGGTTATCTTCACAGGCTTGCCGTAACGCCGCTTTGGTGCTGCGGGGGCTAGTTGTTGCTTGTCTAGGAGCCTCCCAAACTCGTGTGCCTCATGAGTGAAATCAGTTGATTCCCCTTCTCCTCTCTCTTCCCTGGACCTCAAATGCACTGCATGGGGAGACCTTCCTCTCAGATGGTTGCTGCCAGTCTGCTCCAGTCCCTCCTTGCAGCATCCCTCTCCCCCTCTTTCTCTTCTCCAGCAGCTCCAGGACCTCCTGCCCAAACACAGCCTCCCCGTATCCTCCCTGAGGCCCCGTCTCTGCCTGTCTTAGGCAGGCAGCAACTGACTGTGACGTGAGATGACTGGAGCCAACACAGACGGCTGTGGGACAGGCTGGCATCGCCTAACCACATTCACTTTGCCTCTCCCTGCAGGGTGGCCACATGCTGACGCCTCTCCCTGCTGCCACCCCTATGAAGCCGGGCTCTGCCGTGAGTAGTTGTGTGTTTCCCCGGCAGGGAGGGCTTTGGCGAAGTTCAGCAGTGATGGCTGGCACCATGGGTGCCCTGGCCTAGGTGTACATGCTGAGGTGGTTTCAGGCTGGCTGAGGTGGTCTGTGGGAAGGAGTTCCACGGGGGAAGGTGGCCACTGTGCAAAATTTCAGGCCTGCCCTGTGCAGCTGTGCTGACAGGCCCTGTGTGCCACATTGTCTCCAAACCTGCCCTTGTTCTGCCCTTGACTCTATCTAGTTCACAGGGTTTTAATGCGTGGGCTCACCTTCATCTCTCCTTGCTCTCTGGTCCCCACGGTAGACGTTCCCTTTCTTCGGTGTGGTCCCTGCCATCTTGAACGAGTCGGGGGAAGAGCTGGAAGGAGAAGCAGAAGGCTACCTGGTAAATAGGGGCTGATCTTCCTGACCCTCCTCTAATCTGTTCCCTTTGAGCTCTGATAGGGTACACATGTCTCCACCTACACTGGTTCCGGACAAGGGAGGACCTTTTCAGTGGTAGGAACAACCTCTACTGACATAATTCTGAGTTTTATGCCGTAAACAAGCTGTGCATGCAATCACTGATGCAGTTGCACAGATGAGCAACATAGGAGGAAGGCGCAACAGCTTTGCAAACAAGCTCCTTCCCCTATACCGAGTGTGGTGAGACTTTCCCAATAGAGCAGCACTGCAGTGAGAGCAGGGGCGGCAGCAAGTGTCTGTGTCATCACCCATGATCATCTCTGTAGCCTTTTTATTACTACATAGTGCTGTTCTCACTGGATTATTTCCCCTCCTATCACACAAGAAATACAGTCTATAAAAATCCTGGAACGGGGAAGGTAGAATAGCAGGTGTTTGATATTTTGACTCTGGGAAGAGCTCTTTAGTGTGAGGTAGTTCCTTCCATATGCCTATCAGTTGCAAAAAGATAAATTATGCTAAGCTAGAAAGGTTGCGGAGCAGTGTAGGAACTGTACCTGCTGGCCATGGTTGTTTGGGTAAACAGAGGTGGTTCAAAACACTGACCAACAGCAGAGGTTCAAGAGTTAACACTGGTAGTTTTTGCTCCCACTGACTCATGTCTACATTTTTCACGATCAGGTCTTTAAGCAGCCCTGGCCAGGAATAATGCGCACAGTATACGGAAACCACCAGCAATTTGAAACCACCTACTTCAAGAAGTTCCCTGGGTACTACGTGACGGGTGATGGTAAGGCTGTTGGGGGAGTGTGTGTAGGCTGCAGAGGCCAGGGGACAGCAATTTAAATCTTGCTATGTCCTAGTCTCAGAATCCCTTATCGGTTGCTCCGAGGGCTGGCACTGCTTCCTCCCGCTGTCATTTCTGTCTATTTTTAGGTTGCAGGAGAGATAAAGATGGTTATTACTGGATCACAGGACGAATTGATGACATGTTGAATGTTTCTGGTAAGAAAAACAACTTTTGTCTTCAGTGAGAGCCAGTGTGCTTTTTCGATACTAGTTAAAATGACAACCTTGCTTTATGGGACACACTTCTGTACCCACGATTCTGCCCAGCAACCTGTCCTCGAGCTCGGTCTAATTGTAGGATCTTGTTTGTTTCCAAGTCAGTAGAGACTGTGACTGACTTTCTGGGACAATGCCTCCAGAGAAAACATGCTGGAGGGAAGGAGCCTTCTGTAGCCTCTCAGAGGAACTTTTTGAGCATTTAGGGTGCTTCCATGCTGAAGCATTTAGCGTCACAGGACATCTTAGAATTATAAAAAGATTTAGGATGGGCAGGACCTCTTGGGTCTCTAATCCAACCTGCTGCTCCAGGTAGGCTAACCTCAAGGCCAGGTCAGGCTGCTCAGGACTTTGTTCAGGTGAGTTCTGAAAGTGTCCAGGGATGGAGATTTTCCTGCCTCTCTTGCCTGAGTCTGTTGAGATTCAGCTTTATTTCACCCCACCATGCTCTCCGTATACTGCATTAAATAGCTCCATTCCTCCTTTCCTGCAGGCTACAGGTACTTATTGCTGGTTTTGAGATGTTTGCTTGTGCTTGCCCCTGTATCAAACTAGATCCTTTCATCTGACTTCCCTGAAGGCAGTGCTTGTTCTTCACCAACCAATCATTTGGGAGTTGACCACATTCCCTGGGTTTTCAGCGCCAGCGGTCCCAAGGTAGAATGGCAGAGTGCAGGTGCAGTTGGAGCAGAGATGCACAAAAGTGAGTTGTGCCCCTGCCCCGTGATGAGGAGCTTCTTTCCGTCTGCCCAAAATGATGAGCTCCAGCAGTGCACAATAGTGCCAGTTCTTCGGCTCTGCAGATTCAGGCTCTTCCTTCTCTGCATGTTCCAGGTGACCTTGTGGGCAGGTCTCCTCTTGCCAAGACCAGCTCCTTCTCAGCCTTTGCTTTGTTTAATCTGATGGCTGTGAACAGTTCACAAATCTGTTTAAGAAGCCTAAAGGTAAGAGGGATAATAGCCAGGGGCGTGTAGCCTTTGTCTGCGGCCCTTAGCTAATCCTGTGCTGATGTGAGCAATAGTTAGCTGTGTTGCGGGACAGCCCAACCGCTGAAGTAGGTTTCTTTATCAAGCTGTTTTCTCTTCTCAAGCGTGTGTAATTGATGGTCTCAAACCTACAGCTTAGGGCCTTTTATACTTGCAGGCTTCTTCCTTCCAGCTGCTGGAGGCTCTAGGGTGCCAGCCCCATGCTGCTCTGTAAAGCACACTGCCTCTCTCTGCTTCCAGGCCACTTGCTGAGCACTGCAGAGGTGGAGTCAGCCTTGCTTGAGCACTCAGCCATCTCTGAGGCTGCAGTGGTCAGCCACCCGCACCCCCTGAAAGGCGAGTGCCTCTACTGCTTCGTGACTCTGAGAGATGGCCATGAGTTCACCAAGAATCTGACAGATGAGCTGAAAAAACAAGGTAGCAAGAGTCAAACATCTGGGAGTCTGCATTGCAGGGTCGGGGGTGGGGGGGGTGCGGTGTCGGGCGAGTGAAGGAGGAGTGCTTAAACAAGGGTGCATGTAGTCTGGGGAATCCAGCATGGACAACTGCGACAAGGTGCCCCCTCTGAATGGAGAGCACGACTGGTGAAAACTAAAATTAGATCTCCTGACCTTTGGCTGCTCATGTGATGCCACTTCTACCTCTTGGAAGCTGGCAGCCAAGTAAAGGACTCGGGTAGCCAGCGGGCATTTGTTTGCAACAGTGCTCTCCGGCCTGGGCATTGCTCCTATGGCTCTCCTGGGTAGACTTGTGGCAGAGTTTGTTCAGCTGCTTTGAGCAGAAGGGACCATTTGCAAGTCCATCTCCTAAAGCTAGGAGGTGCTGCCTGAGCAAGGACCTACAGACAGGAGTGACAAACTCACAGCTTTGGGCTAAAGCAGGCCAGACATTAAAAGAACAGGGTAGAAACAGTTGGGAATCCAGTGTGCTTTCCCCAAGTGCTGTAGTTAAATACATCATTGCCTGGTTTGGTTGTTTGTGCCTCAAAGGAGCTCTTTTATTGCCACAGAGGAATGCAGCATTTAATACATGAAATGCATCCATGGAAGTTTCTTCTCTGCAGGAACCAAAGGGGGAGTTAGTTCGTGCTCTATCAAAATGGCAATAGTGACTGGGAAAAGCCATTACAAGGGTGTCTTGACAACGCTGAGAATGAAACTGTGGGAGCATTTGCCTTTGCAAAGATGGGGTATAGCCCCATTTGCATTGCAGGTCCTGCTCCCCCTTTCCACAGCTTCAGGGCTCTGGTGCAGCAGCACTGACTGCACCACATGGGCACCAGGCTGTCCAATGAGCTGGTCTTTGTGTCTTAACTTAGTCATCCTGCCTCAAAAGGATGTGCCTGGCATCTCCTGGTAGGCATAATAAAAATATTTTTGTTTTTTTTTTGTAGTGAGAGAAAAAATTGGACCGATAGCAACACCTGATTACATCCAGTATGCCCCTGGCCTGCCCAAAACCCGCTCAGGTAAGGGATCTAGTTACAGTGCTGGAGGATGGAAATCCCTAATCTGCTTGTCTGGGACCGCTGAAGTCCAGGGGGACCAAACCCAGGACAAGGGGGATGCGGTAGGTCTGGGCACTCCCCGCTCCTCTGCCAGGGATGTTGAAAGGCTCCTGAATCCTGCTTTCCTTTTGTGGTTGTCTTTACAGGAAAGATAACCAGAAGGATATTAAGGAAGATTGCCAAAAATGACCAAGATCTGGGGGACATCTCCACCCTGGCAAACCCGGGCATCATAAACCATCTTTTCAACAGCAGATGTGACACTAAGCTGTAGCAGCATGACCTGTCCCTTCTGAACAGAACTGTAGCAGCAGCAGCATCCTGATGAGCGGGTCCCTCAAGTAACTGCTGTCCGCCCTGGAAAAGAAACCTTCTCCTGATGAACTGAATGTATAAATGCTGTAAACGAGGAGGGAAAAGCTGGCTCTGGAGAGGCCTCATCTCACTAGTCTGTCCATGCCTCAGAGGAGTGAACGCATCCTTTTGCGGATTGGTATGATGCACCTGAGGTTCCAGCCTCGTTCACTTGTGCCAGAGGGACTTAGGCTCTTCCCTTTTCATCACCTAGTTCATGATTTTTTTTGGGGGGGGGAGGGGAGGTGTTTAATTTATGTAATTGAGGGGCCCTGGTGTCTTGCCTGCAGTGGGAAGGAACTAGGGAGTTGGAGAGGAAGTGGTACTTTACTGCCAAAGCTGGCAACACAGAAGTACTGGAATTACTCAATGCAAGCAGGCAAGGGAGGTTCATCTGCTGTTGTCCACGCACCAGCTAAGATTCCTCTTCTACCAGTGTTGTAAGCTGGGAGAAGACTTAACACTCTCACATCATAGCTTTTTAATTGAGTTTTAGTCTTGCATCCGCTGTCCAAGCTGCTTGTTAGCAGAGGGCCCCAAGCCTGGAAAGGAATGGTGCAAGACTCAAGGGAGCTCTGTTCTTCAGATAGGTTTTATACAACTCTTTGGTACTAAGGTTTGTTATTTTCTAACTGTGTGATGCCAGCTGTTGCATTTTTCCTAATCTGGGGTCCTTTGCTGGCTGCGGATGCAATAGGGAGCCTGGAGCCTGGGTCTGAAAGGAAACGGTCTTGGTCTGGTGTGCTCTGTAGAGCACTATCTCCAGCTGCTTTCTGATGCCATCAGTTAAGCTTAGCAGAGGCAGGGCAGCGGGCTGCCTCTTTCAAAGGGCTGGGGGTAGGAGTGGGTACTACTGATACCAAAGGAAAGGGGGGAGGGGGAAAACAAAACAAAACAACAAAACACACCACTAGGGAGAGGCATCTTTCCCAGCACAAACAAAGTGTGTGGTGGGGGTGGTAGAGGGCAGTCAGACCATTGCTACAACAAAGAAACCAAGGCAGGCAAGGCTGTTATTCCAACATGTTTTCTCATCAGAAATAAAACAGTGAAAGGTATTTAAAGCCAGCTTTTGCTTAAATGTGACATGGCTTTATGATGATGGGGGGAAAAAAAAAGAAAATCTTATCCAGCCCAAAAGCCTGAACATTAAAGGGGTACTGCCAAAGCCAACATTTCTTCCACAAATTGATTGAACTCCAGCCCTGGATTGAGCTGGGAAAGATACGTCCTTTGTAATGTCTGTATTGGACATAGGCATGAGCTGCTTGAGTTTACACTTCAACCAAAGGAGAAATGGGCTTTAACCCTTGCTGCAACAGCTGTTTCATGAACCCTAATGTACAGGCTTTACCTGTAAAATGAACTGACTTTTAGATGGTCTGGAAAGCAAGAAGCAGCTGATTGCTCATGGTTAGAGGTGCTCGGATGGGCTGTTGTCCAAGTCTCATTTCGTACCTGCTACTCTCATTTGCACAGTACTCATCTGTGATATATAACCTCAGTGTGTGCCTGTGTCTCATGCTCCACCCACAGCTCTGTACCACTGCTCCAGCTTGTTAACAAGAAATCCTACACCTGCTCTCCTCCTATTTTACTCTGAGTTTGCTATGTAATTTTAGCTGGAGACAGCTAGAATTTTATGCAAAAAGGGAATAAAAATCAAGGAAACAAAATGACAACGTGTGTGGAATGCATGCATTAGTTGTAGGTACGTGTCTGGTGTTTGAGGCCAGAGGAAGACTGGGATCTGCCTTACCCTATCCTATGGGTACGCTACAGCAACCACAAGCTGCTTGGGGCAGGGGTCTGTCCCTGCAAACACATGAGGCAGTTGCTTCGGTGGGTGCAGCAGAGCCAGCTCTGCTGTGCCAGGCCTCTCTGTCCAGTGCAAACCAGCAGCTTTGTGGTCAAGCAGCAAGATCCTTCTTGCTTTTGGGAATGGCATGGGGTAGGTTACTGCAACTGCAATGCTTTTTCACAGACTAGGATTGATAGCATTACAGGTGGGAGGTAATTTTTTTTTTCCCTTCCTTAAAGGACCTGACTCAAAACTGTGCTGCCCTCCTGCACTGGCGAGAGGGCAGAACAGCTGGGCTCCACCATCAGAGCCTGTGCCTCAGTTTCTCCCTGGTCTCCAGACAGAATCGTTCCACAAAAACTAATGTAAAGAGTGAGACAGTCTAGCCTGTACCGCACCAACATATCAAACCTGGTCCCATAAACAGGTGCAGGATGGATGCAGGAGCAATGCCAGGGAGAAGAAAAAAAAAAAAAAAAAAAAAAAAAAAACACACAAGCTTGCACAGAGGAACTGAGGAACCTCAGGGCTGTTGCTACCTGCCTCTCCACCACACCAGTCTCAGCCCCAAAGCCAGCAAGGGGGCTGGAGCCAGGCCTGGTCCTCACCCACATGTAGTATTGGATACCAGCCTCCACTGCTCCTCCATACCTTGGTCTTGACTTCAGTGTCACCTTCAGCTCAGACTTCACAGGCAGCTCTCTCCCACAGCTCAGGCCTCGCCAATACTGCTCTTCACAGCTGGGTGCCTTGGGGTCTTGCTGCTTATTGCTCCAGCAAAATGCACAGCCACAGCTACAGGCCTAGGATGTTTCTCCTAGAGTCCATCTTACCCAAAACCCTTACTGGTCTTTTTCCTTGATAATCCTCCTAGCACTAGCTCTCCATAAGCTGTGTGTGGTGCCAGAGCTGCTGAGCCCTGTGTTCCAAGTGCACAAACGCATCACCAGCATGGATCTGCAGACTTACGTGATCTGAAACAGAAACTGCCAGTTTGTCTTTAGTCTTCTCTTGCTGCACCGTGGGCAAGTTGTGTGGACCTAAGTGATAGGCCCTTGCAGAGGCTTACAGCACTACCCAATGGTTGTGTTGGGCCAGAGCTCCGCTTCTAAGGCTACCTCAAATCCTGCTAGGCTTTTCCAGAAGGGTGCAGAGGGAGAACAAGAGAGGACAGTTGAGCTGCTGAAGCAGTCAAGAGACTGCCTAGTCCCTATGAGACCGTTTCAGACAAAACTTGGCTTTTCAGTGACAAAGTCCAGCAGAACCAACTGCCTGGGTCTTGGTGTCACGACAGCATGTTTATAAAGTGAGGGACCTTGCCAGGTGCTGACCACCTCTCCCCATAAAGCCTGTCCACAGGAGAGGTTTCAACCATCTCCTCATGCTTTTAAGAAAAAAAAAAAAAAAAACACACCACAAACAAAACACCCACACCCTCAACTGCGCGAAGAACAGGTGGGTTATCTGCACAGTGCACAGGAGAGATGAGGGCAACTAACAGCTTGGATTGCTTAACACAGAGCCAGGCTGCATCAGCATGGGCAGAAAAAGCCCTTTAGCCACAAAGCATGCCCCTGCAGCAGGGTTAGGCATAGCTCAGCAACACATGGCCGCACGTACAGAGCCTAGCAGTGTGTGTGTGGGGTGGGGGGGGAGTCCTGTGTCCCTCTGCCACAGGAAGGCATCATGACAGGGCAGCCTCAGCACTGCCTTCATGGCCAACTGCCGTGCCGTTCTGGCTCAAGTCCTCCAAGAACTAGTAAACGTCAAGACACGCCATGGAAAATGGCATCGCGTCCTTTCCACCTGGAGGTTAAGAGGTTAACACTCCCCAACAGCCTGACTGCAAGTTTCAATCCCTTCAGAAGATTCAATCCCACATTCCTGAGCAGCATACTACCTGCCAGCATATGGCATGTCACCCCAGCACGAGAACCGAGCCCATTCCTCTGGAGCTGTGACCATCTGCCAGGGAGAAAAGAGAAGGCCTGGCTCAAAACAGGACAGTGCAGCAGCAGGGGGTCTGAGCACAGCTCAGGTCTGCCGTCCTGGAGAAAACCCATTGCTGGGTTTGGCTTGCCTTCCTGAAGTCCTACATGGGAAAAAACAAAACAAAACAACAAAAAAAACCCACCACCACCAACAAAAAAAAAAAATCTGTTCATGAAGACAGAGAGAGACTAGCAGCACTTGTGCCTCCTGAACCTGGGCCAGCAAAGCCTGCAGGGTTGTTTCCAGTTATGGACCTAGAAAAATAATGGCCCTGCATTTCTGTGCAGCTACAAAGGAGATGATAGCTGAGCAATAAAGTAGAGATCAGCAGGGAAAGGAATGATGACAGTTCCGCCACAGCCCCACCACTGCCACAGCCATGAATTTTGACAGTGTTGCAATACCTGGTATTGTGATAATTGATTGATAACCATAAAGTCAAAGATTCAAAAGGTCCATCACTGGCAGTGCTTATGTGCCTACTGACACAGACCAAAGTACTTGCATGTATATTCCCAGACCAAATTGACACAAAAACAGCATTCAGATTGAGTGTATGTTTTAATCTCTGGATGGGGGTAATTAGCCCCCCCCCCCTCAACTAAACCACCCAGGAATCGTAGAGCCAGTTACACTTAAAGAACTGAAAGATTTCCAAGTTCAAAGATTCATGATTAAAGCACCCAGTCTGAAAGTTGCCCTAGGAGACTGCTGCACAGCACCAGAGCAGTGGTCCCAGTGTGACAGCAGTGGCATAGCCATGGAGGCAGTAATGGGCTGCCACGGCCCTGCCTAGGAACTAACAAACCAAATCCCACGTCAGAAGAGCACTGCAGGCAGCAACACCAAGCGCTTGGCAGCTCGGCTGGGTCTGCTCCGCTCAGTCTCACCTCTGCACACCCTTGCTGCCCACCCACAAAGCTGCCCGCCTCACCACATCACAAATCCTGGGAGGACAACTAAAGAGGTCAGGGCTCTCAGCTGCCACCCTGCCCCCTGCCATGGCTCTTGCTTTGTACTGTAGTGGCAGAGCAGGCAGATGTTCAGCACACGACCCAGCAGGATGTATGGGCAGAAGCCCTCATGGATTCAGGGGATATTGACACACTGGCTGTGATAGAAGGCTCCGCTTCACCCTTGCTTTGGGCTCTGCCACCACAGTTGAAGAAATCTTGTGCCAAACGGTGGGGGTCAGTCACTGCCTTAGCTGAGCCCAAGGGATGAGAAATACCACAGCAGTCACTGTGAGGACAAGAGACTTTCCATCTTTGGAGATGAGACCCAACATGGGGGGGCCAGTCTTGTCACTGCAGCCCCTATTGCCTTCGGGGGTGTCAGCACTTGGTAGGAAACACCAGCACTACCCTGCAGCTCTGCATCTTGAGGACCCTCACAGGGTGCCACATCTGGGACAGGAGGCTGCTTTTGTTCTCCTTTGCCACGAGGCAGGACAGAGGGAGCGGACAGCTAAGTGAGCTTCTTTCTAGAGCATGTTGCACTACCAGCAGCTAGACCTCCTATTCTTATTGTAGAAGCAACTGGATGTGGTCCTGAACAGCAAGACAGTTCAGCATAGGTAGAACAGGCTAAGTGACTGAAGCAGATCTAGCCCTCCCACGGAGAGGGTGTGGAGCTCAGGATTAATTCTGCGCTGCCGCCTTGCCTTCCTTGGATGAACTATTTGGGATGAACACCTAGGCCAACAAAACCTCCTGAAGGAACTGGGCAAAGAGCGAGCCAGGTGCCCTTGGACAAATTACACCATGACAGCTTGCCTCTTGCTGTAAGGATCCTCCAGCATAGGGAAAGGTAGGCATCAGAGCAACAGCACCTGAGCAAGGGCTGGATGGGCGGGCCATGGACACTAGGCTCCCATCTGCAACTTGGAAAGCGCTCAGGCAGAGGGGAAGCACAAGGGGCACTGGGCCACAGAGCCCACAGATGAAGGCTGACACTTTCCCCCTTCTCCTTTCTTTGCCCAGGCTTTGGCTTGATGATGATGCATGCAGCATCAAGGAGCTTGGAGCTGGGAACAGCACAAGCGCCTGGTGTGGCACCTTACGCTTAGTTCTGCAATACATACCACTGCCTGCAGGCTAGACCCCAAAGGGACATCCAAATCAATGCAATACTGGGAGGTCAGGGCTGGGACATGCACCTGGGGCAGGGCTGGACCCACTGAGCAGGCAGAGCAAGGGAATCCCTTCTTCCTGCAGGACGAATTGCAAAGGAGAAGCTGGGGTTGGCACGCAGGACTTTTGGAACCATTACGTTTCTACAGTCCCTCCTCATGATCCCAAACACCTCAGGCCTTGGTAATTGCACCCTAAGGAAGACATCCCTGTGGTAGATCAGCTCTTCGGGCAGCAGAACAAGGCGGGTGGGATGAGGGCTTGCCTCCTCACACCAAGTAGGGAGTGTCCAGCACCGCCACACCAGCTGCTACCCCACCATCCGCATGCTCAACTGCCTTGGTCCGCAGGAGGTGACCAGCAGACTTGTTCATCACCATCTCCTTGCCCTGTCTGCAAAGAAAAGGGCAACTAAGCACCTGTAGAGCAGAAAGCTTCTGGCATTTCTACTGTCTTGGAGAATTTGACTGACATTCCCTGTCAAAGCCACAACCCAGGGCAGTTAACTAGCATGTAAAGCCCCTCCGGTCTAGTGCAGAGGCCTCCGCTAATAACAAAGCTGTGCTTGTTTTCTGCATAGCAGCGACACAGCTGTGTGCTGAGCTGGGCCATTTCTGTCAGATTTCTCTGCAAACAAGCAGTGTCAGGTTGTGAATGTTGCCAGAGTACATTTGTTTCTAAAATTGTACAAGAAGGACTTCAATTTATAAATTACGGAAACATCTCTATGGATCTAAGATGGTTTTAAACAAAA